AACCATAGAATGTGCTGAGGATACCACTGCTTTAGTTTAGATGTTTGACCCCTTGAAACCTCACATTGAAATTTAACCCCCAGTGTGGGAGGTTGGGCCTCTTGGGAGGTGTTGGGGTCATGGAGGTGGATCCATTGTGAATAGATTAATGCTGTCCCAAGGAGACAGGGTTAGCAAGTTCTCCCTCTATTAGTTCCTGGCGAACTGGTTGTTAAAAAGAGCTTGGAAACTCCATCGCTCCCTCTTCCCCTTGCTCCCTCTCTTGCTGTGTGATCTCTGTGGTCTCTGCACACACAGACCCTCTTTCCTTTCTGCCAGAGTGGGAGCAGCCTGAGGCCATCACAAGAAATAGATGCTGGTTCCATGCTTCTAGTACAGCCTGCAAAACTGTGAGGCAAATAAATTGCTTATCTTCAGAAGTTACCCAGGCTCAAGTGTTCTTTTATAGCCACAAAAATGGACTAAGACAGCAACGTCCTGAGATCAGGAGAAACGTCCCAGAACAGCTGGACTGTCTTCCTGTTCTTCCCAGAGGAGGACGCCATGCAGTGCTTTAGCTCAGTGCTTCCTGTGGCTCCAGGGTACCAAACCCAGGCCGGGCTGCTTTCTGGGTTCCCCCAGCTGTAGTGCAAATGGGGTGATTCCATATGTCTCGATCAGCTTTTCTGAGCCTTGGAGGACTGGCTCACATTGAAATATAGGCTTCTGTTGTCACTTGCTGGTTATCTGTTAGCAATGAACCTGCCTATGTCATGTATTCCCTGTGTGTTCTGTCTCCCTGGAGTGACGGTGAGGGATAGAAATTGGCATAGCCCCAGGTGCACTACAGGAGGTGTTTATAGTCTTCTCTGGGAAGACTGGACTGGGATTGATGCACAGTGAATGTGCTTTATAATTTCTACAGCCACAACCCTCTTGACTCAAAAAAATTACATTCTCCAAGAAAAGAAATAAAGAGTGAAATCAAGATCAAAAAAGGTGAAGTAAACCCGACTTAAATCAAACAGCCATGAAATAATGATGCAGCCCAGGAACAATGTGCTACTTTTTGTGATCTCCTGAGACATTATTAAGCTGTTGTTCTACCTGAGAGTCCGGGGGAAGCACAACCACCTCCATCATCTATTGTTTCAATACAGCCTGTTCTTCTGTGAGTTAGTACGAAATGTGACCAGGAGATAGTGCTGGCGCTGGTCTCTGAGTCCAAGATCTGAGCTCACTCCAAAGAGTATTAGTTTTTACCTTCCCATGATCTATCTGAATCTCCACAGGTGATTGGAAGTAGGAGTCAGGTAGGGGATTTGGGTGAGAGGACAAGTTTTATACCATGAGCAGAGCACATTCTCTATTCCAGGGCCCGTGCTGGTGGGTTCAAGGGGCTTCCACATTTTCCGTATGATCTCAAGCTCACAGAAAGCCAACTAAGGAAGAGGTTTTAGCCTGATTGTTTAATGGATAAGATAAAGGGTCAAAGAATTAAAGACAGAGAAGTAGAAAAACGAGGTTGGTATTCAGGTGCCTTTGTAATTTGTGTGTTATATCATACTTATGTGTTTTTTATTTTTATTTTTTGAGAGAGTCCCCCTGTGTCGCCCAGGCTGGAGTGCAGTGGCGCCATCTCAGCTCACTGAAACCTCTGCCTCCAGGGTTGAAGCCATTCTCCTGCTTCAGCCTCCCTAGTAACTGCGATTACAGGCATGTGCCAATGCACCGGGCTAATTTTTGTATTTTTAGCACACACAGGGTTTCACCATGTTGGCCAGGCTGGTCTCAAACTCCTACCCTCAAGGGATGCACCCGCTTTGGCATCCAAAAGTGTTGGGTTACAGGCGTGAGCCCCCATGCACAGTCTCACATATTATGTTATTATACTAGGTCCTTTCATTTGCACCACCCATCATGTGTCCATTGCTCCTCTGCCGGGTGTTGATTTAGATGTAGAAAAAAAGTACATCTCAGAAAGAAATTAATGAAACAAGGATTAAACTACTAGGAAAAATCAAACCCAGCAAGACCTCCCTGCAAATGATTCTACCTCACAAACATATCTTATACCCATCTTTCATTCATTTAGTGTGTAAATCAACTCTACATTTCACCAGTGGGGCAGGAATTGCCTTTTCGACAATCTCCTAGATTCCAGTTATGCACTGGGGCCTCCCTTATTTTCACGTCAGTCACTGTTAATCACTTAGGGATTCCTAGTTAGCCCTGAGTTGAATCCAAGGGCTGAGAGTGTAAAACACACACTCCTTGTTCCTTCTTAGTTTCCTGTGTGCCCAGTGTGTTCTCCATCTCTCTACAGTGGTCTTGTAATTCTCCCCATCTCATTCCCAGCGTTTCGGGCAGAGCCTCTTCCTTGAACTTAAGAATCTTTCCACCTTTGTGCCTTCACAGCTGAGAGCTCAGTGTGGAAAATCCTTCTGCCAATCTTCCTCAGTGAGACCTTCTCTGTCACCTGAAATTATACACTCAGCATTATCTATTATTTATTTTAAATCCTGGCTTGGCACAGTGGCTCACGCCTATAATCCTTGCACTTAGGGAGGCCAAGGCGGTCAGATTACTTGAGATTGGGAGTTTGAGACAGCCTGCACAACACGGTGAAACCTCATCTCTACTAAAAAATATACCAAAAAATTTTAGCTGAGTGTGGTGGTGCATGGCTGTAATCCCAGCTACTCGGTAGGCTGAGGCAGAAGAATTGCATGAACCCAGGAGGCAGAGGGTGCAGTGAGTTGAGATTGTGCCACTGCACTCCAGCCTGTGGGACAGAGTAAGACTCTACCTCAAAACAAAACAAAAACCAAAAAAACAGATTTGGTGCACAGATGCTTCCCAGTGGATCATTCATTTATTGATCCACTTGTGCATTCATTTTCTGCCCTCATTTTTAACCATCTGCAATATCAGTGTCCCAAGAACAGAGGCCGAATGCACCCTGTTAACCATTTGTGGAAGGCAGGAGAATGCTGCCCCACCCCAAAATGTCACTGTCCTAGCCACCATAGCTTGTGAATATATTATTTTACATGAAAGGAGGAATGAAGATTGCAGATGGAATTACGGTTGCTAATCAGCTGAACTGAACAGGAGGGTATCCTAGATGATTTTAGGGAGATTATGATGGATTATCTTGGTGACCCCAGTAGAATCCCAAAGTCCTTAAAGATGAGGAAAAAGGCAGAGTAGCATTCAGAGAAAGAGGTGTGGGTGAAGAATAACAGTTTGAATGATGCCATGTGAGACATGACCAGCCTTTATGGGCTTTGAGGAAGGAGGAAGGGGACTAGGGGCCAAAGAACATGGGAGTCTCTAGGAACTGGGAAATGTAAGGAGCAGATTCTTGCTTGGAACCTTAAAAAGAAGTTCAGCCTTCCTGTGTCTTTGATATCAGCCCAGTGAGATGCATTTCATACTTCTGAGTTACAGCACTGTGAGATAATTAAGAAAAACATGCTTTCATCCACAAAGCTTGTGGAAATTTGTTATGGCAACAATAGGAAAAGATTCCACACTGCACAGCCAGAGCATGGGGCATTGGCTGAACAAGTAAGTGTCATGTGCATAAATGAACTAAATTCTCTGTTACTACAAGTTTCTTGCTCTGCTGAGTCAACCAGGGTTGCGTCATGAGAGACAGGAGCTCATTCCTTGGCAAGTAGAACTTTTCTAAAAACATCCCACCCTCATCAGATGTTCTTTTCACTTCCCTTTCTCAAGCCCCCAGGCATTTATCCTGCAGTTAGGAATGCAGGCAGAAAAAATACTGCTTTTTTTTTTTTTTTTTTTTTTCTGAGAAGGGTGTCAGATTTGCACTCATCCTTCTAGCTTGGAGGTCTCAGGTGCAGAAAATTAGAGATTAAGAGATTTCACTGATTGTGTTGGCCCCAGATCCCTTGTGCTGTTGGAGTGTCTGGAGTTCAGAGACAGCAGAAGACAGGCCCACAATCCCAGAAGGAGCTGAGCTAACGCTTGAATCCAAGGCTTCCACCTCTCCAGGTTTCCAAAAGCAGAGACAAGAGGGGTTCTTTACTCACCAGTGTTGGAGCTTGGTTCTGTGGGTGAAGACCAAGTACTTGAAGAGTTTCCTAGAACACAGGACAGGAGAGAGGTGTGGAAATGAAGATGCCTGTCTTCTACTCAATGGAAACCTTTAAGGTTGGTTCATGCCCAAACATTCTGTTATCTAATGTTGGGCCCTGGAAGTCCTGGTGTACCCTTCTCCATAATCATTGTATGTGATGCTCACTGTCTTGAGACTTCAAGGTATGAGGAGAAAACAGGAGCATCACACTACCTGACTTAAAAATATGTTACAGAGCTGTAGTAAGCAAAACAGCATGACATTGGCGTAAAGAAAGACCCATAGAACAAAGGAGCAAAATGAAGAACACAGATGTAATCCACCCATTTATATCCAATGGAGTTTGACAAAGGCTCTAAAGGTCTAAAATCAGGAAGGGACTGTCATTTCAATAAATGGTGCAGGGAAAACTGTACATCTACATGCAGAGGGATGAAACTGCACCTCTAACTCTCACTATACACAAAAATCAAATGAAAATGAATTAAAGACTTAAGGCCTAAACCCATCAAACGTTTAAAAGGAAACATTGGGGAAATGCTCCAGGACATTTGTCTGAGGAAAGACATTTTGTTTAAAACCTCAAAAACACAAACAATCAAAACAAAAATAGACGATTGGGATTACATCAAACTAAGCAGCTTCTGCACCGCAAAGGAGGCAACAAACAAAGTGAAGAGACAACCCACAGAATATTTGCAAAGTATGCACTTGGAGGGGATTAACAACTAGAATATATAAGAAGCTCAAACACCTCAATAAAACAAATAATTTAATTATAAAATTAATAAAAGATCTGAACAGACATTTCTCAACGAACAAAACATGCAAATGGACATTGTATATATGAAAAAATGCTCAGTATCAACTAATCAGAGAAATGCAAACTGAATTCACAGTGAGCTATCATCTCACCCCATTACAATGGCTTTTTATCAGAAAGACAGACAAAACAAATGCTGGTAAGGTGGTAGAGAAAGGAGAGCAGCAAGAATGTTTTCATCCAAGAAGCTTCTGGAAATTTGTTATGGCAACAATAGGAAAAGATTCCACACTGCACAGCCAGAGCATGGGGTATTGGCTGAACGAGTCAGTGAGTGGAAGTGTCGTGTGCATACATGAACTAAATTCTCTCTGACTGCAAGTCTCTTGCTCTGCTGTGTCAACCAGGGTTTCATCTGGTACACTGTTGATATGAATGTAAATTAGTACAACCATTACAGAGGAGAAGAGTATGGAAGTTCCTCAAAAAATAAAATGAGGTTGGGCACCGTAGTTCATGCCTGTAATCCCAGCACATTGGGAGGCCAAGGTGGGTAGATCACTTGAGGTCAGGAGTTGAAGAGCAGCCTGGCCAATATAGAGAAACCCCGTCTCTACTAAAAATATTAGCTGAGTGTGGTGGTGGGAGCCAGTAATCTCAGCTACTCGGGAGGCTGAGGCTGGGGAATCTTTTGAATCCTGGAGGTACAAGTTGCAGTGAGCCCAGATGGCGCCACGGCACACCAGCCTGGGCAACAAGAATGAAACTCTGCCCAAAAAAACCAAAAATCATAAAACCAAACGTAAAAAGTCAACTTGCACAGGATCTAGCAATTCCACGACTGGGTGTAAACCAAAAGGAAAGGACTTCAGTGTATTGAAGTGATAGCTGCACTCCCATGACTGTTCTAGCACAGTTCACAGTAGCCAAGATGTGGAGTCAACCTACCTGCCCCTCAGTGGGTGAATGGATAGAGAGAATGTAGTACATACACACACTGGAGACTACTCATCCATAGAAACAATAACATTCTGACATTTGCAGCCACATGGATGGAACTGGAGGTCATTACAAGTATTTCCATTTCTTACTCATATGCAGGAGCTAAAAGGTGGATCTCATGAAAGTAGAGAGTAGAATGGTGGCTACCAGAGGCCAGGAAGGGAAGGGTGGAGGGTAAAAAAAAAAAAAAGAGTACTAATTAATTAATTAATTAATTTTGAGAGAGTGTCTCTGTCTGTCTCCCAGGCTGCAGTGCCGTGGCGTGATCTTGGCTCACTGCAACCTGTGCCTCCTGCAACTAACTGCCTCTCCTGCCTAACCCTTCCAAGTAGCTGGGACTACAGGCATGTGCCACCATGCTCGGCTAATTATTATTATTATTTTGTATTTTTAGTACAGATGGATTTTCCCCACATTGGCCAGGGTGGTCTTGAGTCCCTGATCTCAAATGATCCACCTGCCTTGGCCTCTCAAAGTGTTGGGATTACAACCGTGAGCCACTGTGCCCAGCCTATAAATGTATTTATGAACAGTAGACTTCACACTTAAAAATGGTAAAGGTGGTAAATTATATAGGTATATTTCACCTCAATAAATACTTTTCCAAATGAAAAGAAAAGGGTGTAGGGGTTGCTGGTGATGACATCTCTCTGTGGGTGAGAGGCCGGGATGGGCTTCTGGGAAATAAGTAAGGTTGAGGGGCTGAGGGAACCTCAGATCTCCCCAAACTGAGCCCAGTCTCCCCACCTCTGGGTCTGTCCTGACAGCTTTCTCCATCTGCCTGGGTGCCGACAGCCCTGAACGCGGGCCTCCATGTGGGCTGTGAAGGAGGGTTTGGAGGTGCCCTGTCTGCCATCCTGTGCCCTGACCCCACCCTCACACCCAGGCTTTGTCTTCTCTCTGCATCTGTCCACGCTTCTCTCCATCATCAAAAGGAAGTTCCTCAGCTATGGTTCTAGGATTACAAGACGTGGGACAGGCATGGGCTTTCCTCACCTGTGACAGAAATGGGCAGTGGGTCACTCGGGTGTGACCACACATAGGGCAGGGCACGGAAAGAGCCGAAGCATCTGTAGTTCCCTCCGTGGGTGGCAGGGCCCAGAGGAAAGTCAGCCTTGAATGTTCCACTGACCCTCGGCACTGCAGGGAGCCTAAGTCCATGGGCCTCCCCATCCCTGGATAGATGGTAAATGTCAAACGAGCTCTGGGAGCTGCAGGACAAGGTCACGTTCTCTCCTGCCTGCACCATGGGGCCTGGCTGGGCTGAGAGACAAGGTTTCCCATATAGACCTGGAAGGAGAAGAGGCAGTTTCCTCAGGGAGGTTCTTCCTTGTCACAGCTCCCCTCACACCTGAGCTGAGAACTCCCTGCCCTGCTCTACGGCCTAATGCTCTCTGTCACCCTCCACCCCGTCTCTCTTCATGTCTGTCTCCTCCTTCCACCTTCTCTGTCTCTGACCTCACTTCCCCATCCCTATCTATGTTTTCTTTTTTGTACCATTTTATTATTTCTGACCTTTCTGACCCTACTTGGATTGGTTGACTTGATCTTCCTCTTTCTTTAACTCTGAGTCTCTCATTTTCTGTCTTATTCATAACTTTCTGCATATTTCTATCTATTATCTATTGATCGATCTATCAATTATCTATGTATGTATGTATCTATCATCTATCATCATCTGTGTATCTATGACCTCTCTCTCTGTTATCTATCATCTATCAATCAATGTATGTATGTATCTATCCATCTATCTATCATCACGTGTCTGTCTTTCTGTCTCTCTATGTCTATTTATGTATCATCTGTCTATCTATCTACTTCTCTATCTATATCATCTATCAGTCATTCATCATCTATTTATCTATCACCTATCTCTCTGTTATCTATCATCTATCTCTTATCTTTCATCCACTTATATCTATCTATCGTCTGTCTTTCTCCTTCTCCTTTTCTCTGCCTCTCAGTCTCTCTAGTTCTCTTTTGGCATCTCTGCAATCCATCTCCACATCTTTATCTTTGCCTGTTTTCGTGCCCCTCCCTCAGGGCTCTGATTTTAGGGCATTTCTCTGCTCCCTTCCATCATATGCTCACTGCTCTGCCCTCTTTTTCTATCACTTTACATGTCTGTGAGTCTCTCAGTTCCCTTCTTCTGGCTTATTTTGTGTGTGTGTTCATGTCTTCGCTTTTTGGTTTCCCTGATTTCACTCCGTGTCTCTCTGTGGGCTTTTGTTCTCAGTAATCCTATAACATGTGGTGTTATTTGAATATGAGCCTCAGAATCCAGTCTGGGGACTCCAGGAGCTCACAGCATACAGGGGTTGGTGTTCTGCTCCCTCACCTGGGGCCATGGTGTCCTGGGACGATGACAGCTCCACTGCATGGAAGGCAGAGGTTTAAGAAAAAACATGGCATCTGGAGGTGCCACAAGCCTGGGGCCACAAGGCCCAACTTAGGCCAGATAGACGTGTCTCTTTGGGTTCTCCTGGCAGAGAACACATTGTGGAGGTAAAACAGAATGGAACCTTCTACCCTGTGCCTGGTCTCTGAACAAAGTCAGCATGGAAGGACATCTCTCTCTGGGACATGTCTGTCTCTCTGTGTGTCTTCTTTACCTCTTTATCTCTTTTCCTGACACGCTGTATGGTCCCTGTGTCTGGCTTCTACGTTATGATGTGCGGTCTGTACTTGTGTCTCCTGTTTCTCTATCTCTGTTGGTACAGACCTCATGAAGTCACTTTCTCTCCATGAGAATCCCACACTCATCTTCCTCATGACCACCTGGGGCTTCCAGTCCTAGATCATTCACTCCCTGTCCCTGCAAGGGTGAGAGGCAGGTCTGGATTCTCTCACCTATGATCACGATGTCCAGAGGATCACTGGGAGCTGACCACTTATAGGGGGAGTGAGCGACAGAACCAAAACATCTGTAGGTCCCTGCAAGGGCAGGCATCATGGGACCCACGGAATAGTTGGCCTGGGAACCCCCATCATGGAGCTGTCCAATGAGGTGCAAGGGGTCCTCAGTGATCCCCTCTCTGTGCAGAAGGAAATGCTCAAACCTCATATCTGACCAACATTGCAGGACAACCGTCTCTCCTGATTTCACCAGGGGACCTGGGTGGGCCAGGAGGGAAGGTTTTCTGTAGACTCCTAAGAAGAGAGGTTGTGAGTTCAGATGGTGTCTCCCTTTCTCATCCCATTCATGGGACCTGGAATAAGTGAGGCTTCCCCTCCATGGTGTCCATCTCTCTCCTCCCTGTCTGTGTCTCCATGTTTTTTTCTGTACCCATAACCCCTGGTGCAGGTCCCTCCATCTGTCTCCCTCCCTCTTCCCTGTCTCTCTGTCTCTAGGACCCCTGATTCCCTTCCCACTGGGCTCAGTGTCATCTCTTAGGCTGTTGTATCTGTTTCCCACTAATCTCTTTGCTGGTGTTTATGTGGGGCTGGAAGAGGAACCATGACAGGCTGCACGTCCAGGCTCTCAGCAGCTTGAATCAATCTCTTTTGGACAAATTGGAATGGCTGGCAGGAGGTGTGAACTCATCAGTAAGGCAGGCATCAATGTCCCTGTTCCTGATGGGGGTTGGGAGCCTCTCCTGCCATGTCTGTGCCTTTTCCATGGTCCCAGCTGCCATAGGGTGGCCCCTGGTGCTGGTTCCAGGAGAATCAACCCCTCCCTGTGTGGATCGAGCCTGGTGGTAGCAACAGTATTCCGCCTGTGCTGAAATCAGTGTAGCCAACCTTCTTGTTTGGTTTCTTAACTTGTCCTTGACTTGGGTTCCTGTGTTTGTTTCCTGTTGCTGCTGTAGAAAATTATCACAAACAAGGTAGCAGGAGAGAATACAATAACCCCTTCCACTTATGGAGAACAGAAATCTGACCCAGTTCTCTCTGGGCTAAAATCAAGGCATCTGCAGGGCTGTGCTTCCACTGGAGACTCAGGGGGAATCAGTTCCCTTGACTTCTCCAGCCCTTAGAGGCCACCTGCCTTCGTGGCTCGTGGCCTTCCTTCACCTTCAAAGCCTGTAGTGAGTCTCCCTCCCACTATGCTGCTCTAATCCCCACTCTCCTCATCCTCCTCCTCTCATGTAGTCCCTTGTGACTACACTGAGCCCAGCGGGACAGTCCAGGTCGTCTCCCCATCTCAAGGTCAACTCATCAACAACCTGAGCTCCATCTTCCCCTTCAGTCCTCTGCCCTATAACATAAACAGTCATAGGGTCCACGGATTATCATGTAGCCATAACTAGGGACAATTATTCTTCCCATCACAGTACCTATTTTTCTGTACTGAATCCCCCTTTACCCCAAATACAGTCAGGTCCTGGGTGATGGGACCCTGGTGGACACCCCCAGCAGAAGCTCGGGGATTCAGGAGGTGGGACAAGGAGAAGCCCAGACAGGAGCCCTCTGACCTGTGACCGTGATCACCAGGGGGTTGCTGGGAGCCGACCACTCAGTGGGGGAGTTCAGGTGTGAACCCCGACATCTGTAGGTCCCTGCGTGTGCCGAGGTCACAGGGCCCAGGAGGATGTCCTTCCAGAATCTTCTGTTGTAGAGCTCAGGGGTAGGCACCCCATCTTCCTTGTACAGACTGAAGATGGTAAACCCAAGATGAGAGTGACACTGAAGACTCACGTGTTCTCCTTGAGGCACCACAGCGCTGGGCCAGGCAGAGAGGAAGGGCTTGTCCTGACCATCTGGGGGAGAAGGAGGCACAGCCTTTAGAGAGGAGGATGTGAAGCAGCCCCTCCCTCCCTGTGCTCAGAAGATTCTCCCCACTTTCCACATTTCTAAGGCTCCTACCACACCTGAGTGCCCAGGGCTACAGGAAGAACCCATCCCTCATAGACATGGCGTCTCCCTATAAGAAAAGTGTCAGCTGAGAACTTTGAGCAAGTGCTAAATAGGCGACTCTTACTAGATTTCAATACTGCAAGATTACTCACATAAAACAACACAAAGTAGACACAGGATGGAGGGCATGACCTTTGTGAATGGAATATCAGCTAATGCATGAACCATAATAAACAACTGAGCCCTCATTAGAAGATCTGAAATGTCAGGGTCATGACTGTGGTTCCCCACCCCGCTTCTGATAGAATGACAGCGGCAACACTGCAGCCCCGACCATCATGGAAACGCTGGAGGGTGTGAGTTACGCTGTTGTCCTCAGAGCCCTGCTGTTCTTGCACTGCTTCCCTCCCTTCCTTTGCCGGTGACACCACTTCTTCCCCGCACACCGCTGCTTTGAGCACTCTAGTCTCCCCCAGGGTCCCCAAGGACTCAGCCAAGGGAAAGAAAGAACAGGGAGGGCTAGGACAGAACTGTGGGCCAAGCTTCCCATGGCTTCCTTTTCCTAGTTCATGAGAGATTCCCACATGGCTTCCCATCGTCATCCCATCAGTCAACCCCTTGTGCTGCCTGCCTCGTGTTTCAAGAAAATCATCTTATGTGGGGAGATGACAACCTAAGGTTTGGGGAAGGACTCACCCACATGTGGCCAGGCCCTCTGCAGCAAGAAGAACCCTATAAAGAAAGATCATGATGGATGATCCATCTGTACATCACCTCCAGGCCCATATCTCCTCTCCAGACCCATATCTCCACTCCAGGCCCATATCTACAGTTCCAGGCTCATATCTCCACTCCAGGCCCATATCTACAGTTCCAGGCCTGTATCTCCATTCCAGGCCCATATTTGCACTCCAAGCCAATATCTCCACTCCAGGCCCATATCTCCACCTCCAGGCCCATATCTCTATCTCCAGGCCCATATCTCCATTCCAAGCCCATATCTAAAGCTCCAGGCCCATGTCTCCACTCCAGGCCTATATCTCCACTCCAGGCCCATATCTCCACTCCAGGCTCATATCTCCACCTCAGGCCCATATCTTTACCTCCAGGCCCAGATATCCACCCCAGTGCTCCCTCCCTTGATTCCCTTCCGGGACTCACCAACACACGCTATGCTGACGACCATGAGCGACATGGTGCTGCTGGTGCAGACAGGCGGCCGCGCCCCAGCTCAGCTCAGCAGCACACAGGATGTTGTGAGGGGCTCATGCAGTTTACATGCTGACCACATCATGAGAGGATGACGTACGCAGGCTCTTTCTGCCTTGCATGAGGCCCAGTGGGTGTTTGCTCAAGAGTGGAACATGGCTTCCTGGAAATTGTTCCGACTAGCATTGACACCTTGCATCCTTCACTATTACCAACTCAAAACATGTCTCAGATCCAATCTCTCATACAGGAGATGATTGAATTTTGTGCTGACATGAAAGACTTTTGACGTATTTTTGTTGTTTTCTTCTGAGATTCAAACTCTTCTCCATGTGCTATTTTTGCCCATTCAATATGATGTTGGCTATGGATTTGTCATAGATGGCCCTTAATATTCATTTGGAAACAAGTTGTTAAATCTCCATGTTTTTCTGTAGTTTTAAGAGATGATCTTGGTATTTTTTTCCATTTTTATTATGTGCCTTGTTATGATTTTGATTCTTTGAATTTATTGAGACTTGCTTTGTGGCCAATCTTAGAATATGATATTTTTTGTGTGTGTGCAGATAAGAAGAATCTATATTCTGCAGTTGTTGGGTGGAATACTCTGTAGATGTCTCTTAGGTTCAATTGGTCAAGTGTTGTCTTTAAGACCAGAATTTCTTTGTTAGTTTTCTGTTTTAGTGATCCATCTGATGTTGTCAGTGGGATGTTGAAGTCCCTTACTATTATTATGTGGCTGTCTAACTCTTTTCATAGGTGAAGAATAACTTGTTCTATGAATCTGTGTGCTTCAAAGTTGGGTACATATATATTTAGAATAGTTAAGTCTTCTTGTCAAATTGAACCCTGTATCATTTTGTAATGCCCTCTTTTGTCCTTCCTGATTGCTGTTGATTTAAAGTGTGTTTCATGTGATATAAGGATAGGAATGCCTTCTCTTTTTTTTGTTTCCTGGTTGCCTAGTAAATATTTCTCCATCCTTCTACTTTGAGCCGCCTGTGGGTGTCATTTCATGTGAGATGGGTCTCTTGAAGACAGCAGGCAGTTGGCTCTTGGCTTTTTATCCATGTTGCCACTCTGCCTTTTACGTGGGGAATTTAGGCCATTTACATTCAGGGTTCATATTGATATATGAAATTTTGGTCCTGTCATTATGTTGTTGGCTGTTTTATAGACTTGATAGTGTAATTGCTTTGTATTATTTGTGAGCTATGGCTTGAGTGTGTTTTTGTGGTAGCAGGTTTTTATCTTCTGTTTCCTATTGAGCACTTCACTAAGGATCTCTTGTAATGGTGGTCATGGTGGTCTAGTGCTAACAAATTCTTTTAGTGCTTCCTTGTCAGAGAAAGATTTTATTTCTCTTTTGCTTATGAACCTTAGTTTGATGGGATATGATATTCTTGGTTGGATTTTCTTTTCTTTAATAATGCTGAAACAGGCTCCTAATCTCTTTGGCTTATAGATTTCCACTGAGAGTTCTGCGGTTAGCCTGATTGGGTTCCTTCTGTAGGTGACCTGCTCCTTCTCTCTAGCTGCCTTTAAGATTTTTTTCTGTTGCGTTGACCTTGGAGGATCTGATAACTGTGTGTATTGGGGATGGTCACCTTGTGTTATATCCCACATGGGTTTTCTGCATTTTTTTCTTTGAATTTGTATGTCTTCCTCTCTAGCAAGATTGGGAAAATTTTCATGGACTATGTCCTCAAATATGTTTTCTACGTTGCTTTCTCCTTCTCTTTCTCTTTCACGAATTCCAATGAGCCATATATTTTGTCTCTCTACATAATCCTATATTTCTCAGAGATTTCATTCATTTTTAAAAAATCTTTTAAAAAATTTTTGTCTGACTGGGTTGATTCAAAGATCTATTTTTCAAGCTCTGAGATTATTTCCCTAGCTTGATCTCTTCTGCTTTTGTTGCTTCTGATTGTATTGTGAAATTCTTGAAGTGAAGTCTCCAGTTTCAGGAGTTCAGTTTGGTTCTTTCTTAAAATGGATATTTCTTGTGTCAGCGCCTAGATCATTTTGCTGGATTCTTTGGATTGGTCTTCATCTTTCTCCAAGATCTTGGTGGGTTTCCTTAGTATCCAGATTCTGAATTCTGTGTCTGTCATTTCAGTCATCTTAGTACGGCTAACAATTGGATTTCTGGGGAACTATCGAGTTGCCAGAGTTCTTGTATTGATTCTTTTTCATGTGTGAGGGCTGGTGTTCCTTTAACTATGATGTAAGTTAAGCATAGTCAGTTGTCTTTATTTCTGGGTATTTTGAGAGGACTGGGACTCGTATAGAACCTTTATTTGTGGCTGAGTCTTTGCCTTAGTTTTCACAGGTGCTGTATACTGGAAAAATATTTTGGTGTTGTGTTTTGGTCTGTGATTCAGTAGGTGGTGCTTAAGAATGTTGGCTGGCAGATAGTTTGTTACTCAGCCACATGGCTCCTTCGTATTTTTGTGCAGCTCTCCCCAGCACTCTGTGGTGAGGGCAGAGAAATGACCCCCTCACCTACTCCACTCCTGAGCCTTTGAGGAGCCCCCTTTAATGACCAGCTCCATGACTGTATTTCCTTTGTTAGGTGTTCTAGTCAAAGGTGTGGATGTGATGTCAAAATCACCTCACACCACAAGACGCCCAGCTAATTTTTGAATTTTTAGTAGAGACAGAGTTTTGCCATATTGGACAGGCTGGTCTCGAAGTCCTGACCTCAAGTGATCCACCTGCCTCGGCCTCCCAAAGTGCTGGGATTACAGGTGTGAGCCCCTGCACCCTGCCAGGGGTTCTTGAGTTGACACATCAATCATCCACTTGGACTGGTGATTGGTAATTCTGATATTGGTCCTTTTCCTAGGGTGGAATTCTCATCCTCCTTCCACGGCCCTGACTTCAAACTGTAGGGAGCAATGAGTTGGATTATTGCTCTGATTTTGAAGGGGAAGCTGATTTGTATTTAAATATTCATTTTTTAATTTTTTAAAATTTCTTTGACCAATTAAAAAATTTGTTTTCAACTAAGTTTATATGAGAAACTAACTCATATAAAACTCAGAGATGGTCTTCTCCTGAGATATCCGTTTTATATTTTTATGATTGCCTTTTAAAGTATATTGAATGGTTGTAATTCCAGGGACATGTCTTTCAGAACAGTATTTATTCTTATCTATGTGTTTTGGAGAGTGCACTAAGGGACATTGAAGTTTATTTCCTGAAAAGAGTTTAATTTTAAAATGTATTTTATTTAATAACTCAATGATTTGGAATGTCTAGGTATTTCAGAGATTGTTTTAGACAATTGGTTTTCTTGTGATATGTGATCACTTCATCTAAGCTGAATAATGTCTTCATAATGTCCACTTAGAATCTTTTGAATTCTGTAGGATCTGTACTGATGTCATTGTTTCCTTTCTGATATTGGTAACTTTCCTGGGGTAGGATTCTTATCTCCCCCTGAGGTTCTGCCTCTAAAATTCAGGGAACAATGAGTCGGATTAGTACTTTGATTTCAAAGGGAAAACTGATCATCTACCATTTTTTGTTTGTGTAAATGGACATATTAACATCCCTTGCCTGAACCTTAGTTTCCTTGTTTGGAGCATTTTACTATAAATCTCACTTCTCAGAGTGATTGTGGGGCTTGATGTGGCTGGGGTATGGGATGAGCTCAAATATAATTTAGTTCCAGATCAGGTTAAGGCATGAAGGGGTTGGGACTTGTTAGAAACCTGTTGTTGGACTCCACAGTAAGGGTAGACATTTGAGGCACTCAATCGAAAACCTCAGTTGTTCCTAGCACTGAGAAATTTGATAGAAAGTTTCTAAAACATTATTCGTGGTCTTATGCACAAAAAGTAAAGTGATAGCACCGGAAATAGACAGGGAATCATAAGAAAAAAGAGAGAGCAAAGCTCAGTGGTCACCAGTGCCTGGGACTATCAAGGGGTTATTAAGGAGGAAGTTTCCACTTCTGTGTGGAACAGAAGAGGCTCCCTAGGGTCTTCACAGACAGGGAGTGAGTCAAGACTCAGTGAGGCTGGAAGCTCTGGTTCTCCCTTTTTTTTTTTTTTTTTTTTTTGAGACAGAGTCTTGCTCTGTCCCCCAGGCTAGAGTGCAATGGTGTGATCTTGGCTCACTGCAACCTCTGCCTTCTGGGTTCAAGCAATTTTCCTGCCTCAGCCTCCCAAGTAGCTGGGACTACAAGTGCCCACCACCATGCTCAGCTAATTTTTATAATTTTAGTAGAGATGGGGTTTCACCTTGTTTTCCAGGCTCATCTTGAACTCCTGACCTCAGGTGATCCACCTGCCTTAGCCTCCCAGAGTGCTGGGATTGCAGGCATGAGCCACCATGCCCGGCCCCTTCTCTGAGATTTTACAGATGGGCTCTGGGACTTCTCAGCTCACTGACTGGAGCCCCTGGTCAGCACTGAGCCACCTCCTCCGTGTGTGTGAAACAGTTTCATTGCAGTATTGTGTGAGGCTCCCATTGGACCTATCATTGCCCCACACAACTGTGGGCAGACACTGAGTTTGGGAAACTGGATGCCATGTGGAAGTAGATGATGGGTTAGGCCTCCCTTTTCAGCTCTCAACTCCAAAGAAAGCCATGAGAGAAACCTTAGGTGGAAGACAAAGTGTGAGAGGTGAGCAGTCCAACAAAAAGGACCAAGAAGTATATTTTTTATTTTTATTTTTTGAGATGGAGTCTCGTTCTGTTGCCCAGGCTGGAGTGTGGTGGCCCGATCTCGGCTCACTGCAGCCTCCACCTCCTGGGTTCAAGCGATTCTCCTGCCATCGCTTCCCGAGTAACTAGGATTACAGGCATGCCCCACCATGCCCAGCTGATTTTTTAAATTTTTAGTAGAGATGGGGTTTCCCTATATTGACCAGGTTGGCCTAGAACTCCTGACCTCAGGTGATCTGCCCACCTCAGCCTCCCAAAGTACTGGTATTACAGGCATGAGCCACTGTGCCTGGCCTCAGACTCATGTTTCAAAGTCCCAAATACACATTTGCCCACCTATTCCAATTATTTAATCCAGATCTATGCTCAGAATTGAAGAGATGGAGAATCAATAGTTCACTTCAGGGAATGTGGCAGTTGGAAACAAAGAAAAATGCATTACATGACAGTGGACCAGAGCACGTGATCACAGGGGTGTGGATGCAAACCCACCACGGGGGATGTGCCCTCACGTCACAGGGAGCAAAAGGAAGGGAGGGGCAGTCACAGAGGGTCCACAACAGCAGGATGGAAAGCACTGCCGTTTAATGGAGGTTTAATAGAGGAGGCATTCTCTACAGGCACCCAGACATCTTCCTGCACCTGACCCATACCTCCCCTTCTCGACCTCCTCAGTAGACAGTTTCCCGAATGATGGTCCAGACTTTCTTTCAGAACCTTTTGGGACCATCAGATTCATTGCCAAGGCTCTAGCACTCTGACGGGTGCATTGTTCTCTCTTGTGTTTACCTCCTGGCTGCATCTTGGGGGTTTCTGTGGCTGTGCCAATCCTAAAACAGCAGAATCCCGAGGACCACCAGGACCAAGCCAGCCACGGCCATGCGGATGAGATTCTCCACGGTGTAATCCTGGGGGTGTGAGGCTGGGGATGGTGGACAAAGAGGTCACAGAGGTCAGGGTGGATCAACATGACCCAGGACCCCTGGATGTCCACCCAGGATGCCCACCTCCCCTTCACAGGACCTGACCCTCTGTGCCAGCCCCATAACCGAGAGCATCTCCTCACTCACTAGTCTTGGAGTCTGTCTGGTTTTGTGATGGGCTGAGGGTCTCAGCTCCTCCTGAGAATCAACCAAAAAAGGGGGCAGGTGTGTGAGGAGTTGAAGAGACTTAAGCCAACATGTCCCTCAGTTTCTGCATTCCTTTGTGTCTACATTTCTCCTAACTGTTCTGTAGTTATGTGATAGAACCTTTTCCTGATGCGGCAGAGGTACATACATACATATATGCACAGGAATAAATATGTGCATATACATAATTGAGATATAATAGTGTGTGTATGTAAATATATAATGCTTATGTATTATAAGATATATAATAGTGTGTGTATAAATAAATATATAATACCTGTCTCTTATACACATCTAGATGTGTATAAGAGACAGATATAATAGTGTGTGTATAAATAAATATATAATACATAATATATAATAGTGTGTGTATACATATAAATATGTAATAAGATATATAATAGTGTGCATATCTAAATATGTAATACATAATATATAATAAGACATATAATAGTGTGTGTATATCTAAATATATAATATATTATATATTATAAGATATATAATAGTGTGTATATAAATATGTAATACATAATATATAATAAGATGTATGATAGTATGTGTATCTCTAAATATATAATATATAATATATAATAAAATATATAATAATCTGTTAATACATAAATATATAATACATAATATATAAGATATATAATAGTGTGTATATAAATATGTAATACATAATATATAATAAGAAAAATAATAGTGTATATATAATACATAATATATATTGTAAGATATATAATAGTATATATAATATATAATATAATATATAATATATAATATATACATATATAACATATGTATATATAACACACAATATATAATAAGATATCTAATTGCATATATATGAATATATAATACAGAGTGTATAATAAGATAGTAGTGTGTGGGTATATATAAATATATAATACATAATATATATTATAGGATATATAATAGTGTGTAGGTATATATAAATATATAATACATAATATACATTATAAGATAGATAATGGTGTGTGGGTATATATAAACACATACATATATATTTGAAGTGAGAAGGGTAGTATAAAATTTAGAAACAAGTTTGTCCTCCAGTTTCTTGTGGTTAATGTAATTATTATCAATAAATCAGAAGAGATCATTTGGGAAAGGATTGAAAGGGAGTGTGTCAGGGGTAAGTTAATGGGAACTAAAATCAGCATACTCAAACCAAGAACTTTCTCATCTATACTTAACTAATTTTAGAAGATAGAAAGGAATCAAAGCCTTTCAAATTATTCAAGTAGTAAAACAATCCTTAAAATTCACAATGTCCACAGTTGTTATGAATATAACTTCAAAAGCCTGCTGATATAAATGTATAAAGTTTAATTTTAAATGTATTGGATAAACAGACATTATTAATAAGAAGTTATTCTCCATCATGAATGCACATATTTAATTTAATCCCAAAGAAAATCAGAACACAGTTATTTTACATCATAACGCTACCTACCAAATTAAATGTGTAAATTATAAATGCCAGCATTGCTTTGAAATCTTCAGAAACAGAAAGAGAAACAATAGATACGTGGACATAAAAAATAAAGGACAGAAAGGAATTGCGCACGAGGTTTGCTGTTGAATATTTGCCTGCATTGCTGCAGTGAGCAGGTGCACGATCTGCTCTTAGTCTCAGGTATGCACTGAGTGTTAGGGGGCTGCCCAGGGAGCCCAGGTGGGGAGTGGGTGGAGCCTCCATCTTCTACCCTCAGTCTAAGCATGATTCCTTCAAGGTTCCTCCGTATCTCATATCAGTCCTCCCTGGCCTTTAGCCCCATCTGAGGTCTCTGGGGTGGGAGCCCAGGATTAGGAGGTCCCTGACAATTTCCACCCTCTTATGGGCTGGGCCCTCTCCCTTTACTCCCCTCTTTCCTTAGCATCCTGAGCTCTGCTGGGGGCAGGGCCTGAGGTGAGCCTTTGAGCTCAGAGAGGACAAGGTCAGGGCCCTCACCTGAGACCACGAGCTCCAGGGGGTCACTGGGGTGAGACAGCAGGTAGGGGAAGAATCTGTGTGAGCCGTAGCACCTGTAGGTCCCCGCATGGGCTGAGGTCACAGGACCCATGGGGAATTCAGCCTGGTGCTGGTGAGCTCGGTGCTCTGATCTCAGACGCAGCAGGTGATGGGCTGCTTCCTCCTTGGTCAGAAGGAAAGTGTCCATCGGGCTCCGTGACTGACACAGCAGGGTCACGTTCTCTCCTGAAACCACCGTGGGGCCCGGCTGCACTGAGAGGAAGGGTCTGTCAGGGATCTGTCCTGGAGAGAAGAAGGATGGGTGAGGGGCTGCCCCACCTTATTCTGAGCTGAGACTTCCCCAGGCCTCTCTCTGGGGCCCTCAGTCTCTCTGTCTCTGTTTTCTCTGAGTCTCCCCCTCCCCACCCATCCCCTGTCTCTCTCTGTGTCTTTCTCCCTTAGGACCCCCCACCCCTCATCCCGGTCATCACCACCTGGGCTCCCCCAGTAGGGCCTGAGCAGAGCCTGGATCCCTGACTGAACCCGCTGGGCTCCTCACCTGCGATCAGGATGTCCAGGGGGTCACTGGGGGCCGACCACTCGGAGGAGAGGTTGTGTGCACCGTAGCATCTGTACTGGCCCCCGTGGGACACCTTCACAGGGCCCAGGGTGAAGCTGGCCTGGGAGAGCCCAGCCTGGTGCTGCTGGCCAGAGCCCTGGAGGAGGTCACGTCCCTGCTCCTTGTACAGAGCGAATCTGTCGTAGCTGACATCAGAGCCACACTGCAGGGTCAGGGTCTCTCCAGGGGCCACGACAGGGCCCTGCAGGGTCAGGAGGGAGGGCTTCCTAGACACGCCTGGAGGGAAACAAGAGTTGGGACTAGGAGGGCTGGTTCCTCCCACACCCCTTCCTTCTCCCGTTCAGGCCCTGCAGGTCTCACTGTCTCTCACACTCAGTCTCTCTGGGCTCAGGAGTCCCAAACTTCCCCTGTTCCACCCTCCTACGTGGGACTCCCTGAGAGTGAGTTCTCAAAAATAAATCGGGCAAGGAGCGGACGTCTGTACCTGAGACCAGGATTTCCATGGTATCACTGGGTTCCGACCACACCCGGGTGATGTTCCTGTAATATCCATGGCATCTGAACATCCACCGGTGACTGGGGCCCACAGGGAACAGGGCCAGGAACAGCCCGTTGGAGAGTTCCTGTGAGTCCAGCATCCAGGAGAGCTTGTTTTCTCCTTCCTCAATCAAGACGAACCTCTGAAATCCCAGCCTTGAGCTACACTGGATGGTCACGTTCTCTCCTGAGGTCGCCACAGGGCTCGGCAGGGCTGAGAGGGTGGGTTTCCTGTAGGCTCCTAGGAAAGAAGGAGACACTGTCTTAAGCGGGACTCACGCCTCCCACATCATCCCCCAGGGCTGAGTTATTAGAACCAAGATGCCCCTGAGAGCTGACCTCCTTCCTGAGGGCAGAGCCTGGGGCTGGGACCCCTGAGTGTCCTCTTACCTGTCACCACCAGTTCCAGCGGGTCACTGAGCTCTGACCAGCCTGCAGAGCTGAGATAGTGACAGCAGTATGTCCCTGCATAGTGCTCTGTCATGGATGGGATGAAGAAGTTGGTCTTGTTCCTGGGCTCTGGTGGGCTCTGTTGGTGCCAGGTCATGGGGCTTCCTTCCTTGGTGAGATGGTAACCCTGGGTATCCAGGGTCCCCTGGCACCAGAGGGTCACGGAGCTCCCCCAGCTGATCACAGAGCCTGGCTCAGCCCAGAGGCTGGGTTTGGGGAGGATCCCTGGAAGAAACCGCAGGCTGGAGTCCACAGACCTCCCCCGCCCCTCATTCCCAGCTCAGGCCATGGACCCTCTTGATTTTCTCACCCTCCGTTCAGAAGGCCCTGAGATGAGAGTCCGGGTGCTGAGTGTGAGGGAGGGCATGGGAGCTTAGCAGAGACTCACCCACAGGTGCTCGGGTATTCTGGTCCAGACTCAGCCATGGAGGACAGTTTCCTGTGGGGGATTTGGAAGACAGAGGTGTGATGGCTTCCCTTCCTGCTGGAGCACCAGTAGCCACTGGACCCCTGAGGGTCTCCAGTGATCAAGTCTGCTGTGGGACCCCCCTCACCCCAGCCCAGTGCCCCTCCTGTCCCTCGTCTCTCCACCACTGACTGAGGCACAGAAGAACAGGGAGGATGGACACCATGATGCCTGCTCTGCGTGCTCCAGCTGTGGGACAGGAGACCACACGACCCTCCAGGACAGACAGACGCGCGGATGTGGTTAAGTCAGAGCCTGCTGCCGCCTGTCTGGGTCCCCACAGCTGTCAACCCACAGGAAGTGGACACAACCTCTTGCTGGGCCTGTCTCTGATTCCCCCTAGTATGGGGGCTCAGGAGGACCCAGGCCCTCTGCACACATCTCAGCCCAAACCTGAGGTGTCCCCTGATGGCCAGGGCTCCTTTTTCTGAAAACCTGCCCATGGAGGGTAGACCTAACATCACGTCTAGGTCAGCTACCAACTGGGCGGGAGTCTAAACTGAAAACACAGCCCTTATTTTCTCAGAGCCTCCACTCATGACATCGACTTTCCTTTTCCCCACCGATGCAAAGACAAATATTTCCCCACGAGACAGTCACCCTGATCTGGAGCACTTCCTGCTTTCAGTAAATACAGTCGATTTCATTAGGGGAGGCTCTGGGAAAATTAGGGGATGCAGTTTAGCAGAAGATGAACATTCAGCAACTTGTTTCTCAATTAATTAATTTATTGCCAAAGAGAGAGAAGTGGAAATATGAGAATAGGGACCACAACTAGAATGTGGTTGAGGGAATGGTTTCTACCTTATTTCCTGGCAGAGAACTAAGACATAAGAACAAGAAAGCTGGCTGGCTGCGGTGGCTCACGCCTGTAATTCCAGCACTTTGGGAGGCTGAGGCAGGCGGATCACAAGGTCAGGAGTTCGAGACCAGCCTGACCAACATGGTGAAACCCTGTCTCTACTAAAAATACAAAAATTAGCCGGGTGTGATGGTGTGCATCCGTAATCCCAGCTACTCGGGAGGCTGAGGTGAGAGAATCACTTGAACCCAGGAGGCGGAGGTTGCAGTGAGCCGAGATCACGCCACTGTACTCCAGCCTGGTCAGGAGAGCCAGACTCTGTCTAAAAAAAAAAAAAAAAGAACAAGAAAACCCAGTGAGAGGTGGTTGTGAGAACACACTAAAGAGGAAAGATCACTCAGGACTGGGAGTGGTGACTCACGCCTGTAATCCCAGCACTTTGGGAGGCCGAGGCGGGTGGATTACCTGAGGGCAGAAGTTCGAGACCAGCCTGGCCAACATGGTGAAACCTCATCTCTACTAAAAATACAAAAAATAGCCGGATGTGGTGGCATGCACCTGTAATCTCAGCTACTCAAGAGGCTGAGTCAGGAGAATCTCTTGAACCCAGGAGGCAGAGGTTGCAGTGAGCCGAGATTGCACCACTGCACTCCAGCCTGGGCAACAGAGCAAGGCTCTGTCTCAAAAAATAAAAACTGAAAAGAAAAAAAGAGAAGGAGAAGAGGAAGGAGACGGAAAGGAGAGGAAACACGCCTGAGGTGGAACATTACATGTAACATGGAGTAGGCAGGGAATCCGATAGAGCACTGAAACTCTTGCTGGGTGCGGTGGCTCACGTCTGTAATCCCAGCACTTTGGGTGGCCGAGGCGGGCGGATCACATCTCATGAGGTCAGGAGTTTGAGACCAGTCTGGCCAAGATGACGAAATCCCGTCTTTACTAAAAATACAAACGCTACCTAGCTGTGGTGGCAGGCGCCTGTAATCCCGGCTACGTGGGAGGATGAGGCAGGAGAATCGCTTGAACCCGGGAGGCGGAGGTTGTAGTGAGTCAAGATCGCACCATTGCACTCTAGCCTGGCCAACAAGAGCAAAACTCCATCTCAAAATAAATAAAATAAAATAAAATAAAATAATAAATAAAAAGAGGACTGGACATCTCCTCTGGGTTGTCAGTGAATGGAACCAAGCAAGCCACCGCCCTTTCCCTTTTGTCCTACAAGTGTCTTTCTTGGCCTCCAGGAAGTGAGTTCCATTGTCAGACCCCATGTTTGTTGCCGCTGGGTTAATAGAGTCTCCTCCCTTTCCACCTGTGGCTCCCCATGGGTTCCCAGGCCCCAGCCAGCATTGTGAATAGAGCCAGGAAGACCAGCCCTATCACACCCCTCCTGATGGAATTCCCACAGTGTCATCCTGGAGAACAGGGGCTGGGAGCTGGGGTAGGATCAGAGACCTTTTCATGTGGGCCAGGCCCCTCCCTCCACAGGAGTTCTGACACGGAGCCCATCACCACCCGTTTCACCCCGACGATATTCTTCCTGCCCAGACACCCCCATTCTCCCTATATCATCATGGGCACCTCAGTGAAATCCACGGTTGAGGGTCTCTGTCACTCACTCTTCCCTCTTCTTGGAAACTTTCCTTGGATCCTTCCAGAGCCCTTCCTGAGTGTGCTGCAGGGTCTCTGCCACACGGCACACTCTCAGGAGCCCTCATCCTCCCCCTCACCTACTGCGCCCACACAGCCAGGTGCAGGCTCCGTTTCTTCATCTTCCCTTCCCCACAGGCCCTGATGGAAAGTGGATTAGACTTGCTACTGAGTAGGGGCTCAGGTCACTCTGACCCCTTCCTCCCTGTGGACGAGGCCTCCGTCCCAGAGCATTGGAGGCTGAAGGGTCTTGCGGATTCCCACACTGACCACAGTCTCAGATGCGGATGGGGAACCTAGGAACTCGGGAGGGGCTGCCTAGCCCAAGGTTCCACAGCTGGAGGTGGCACAGCCTTCACTCACACGGGGCTCTTCCGTCTCCCCAGGGACTTCACACTGGAGGCTAAGAGCACCACTTTGCACACCACATTCAAGGATGGATTCTGTGGGTGACTAACAAGTTCTCCTAGGGTTCCAAGGTAACAGGACAGCAAATGGGTGAGGGAGAGCCTCCGTCGTCCCACTGAAGTAGGACCATTCTCTATGGAGGGTTGGTCCCCTGCCTTCCTCTACTCTGTCATCTCCCTAGTGACTGATAGGGGTCCTGGGGTGTCTTCCCTGGAATCCCATGAGGGACAATTCCTTTCCTGAGAGGGAAGGTATAGAGAGGACTAGCAGGTGCCTGGTGATGGAAAGTACCCATAATCAAGAGACATTGCCTCCGCCCGGGATAATAAATATCCGAGTTTCCAAATGGGAAATCTCTCTTTGGTGAGAGCTCAGGAGGGGCTTCTGGAAGATGGAAAAGGGTGAGGGGCTGAGGCCACCGCTTATCTCCCCAAACTGCATCTGTGTTTGTCCTGACCTCTTTCTTCACTCACTTGGATAAGTAGGACCCCAAAGTGGGCCTCCAGACAGGAAGCAGTGGAGAGTGTGGAGCTGCCCTGTCTACCTGACACCCCCATCATACTCAACCTCTCTTTTCCTCTTTGTGTTTCTCATTGCTTCAATTTGTCTGGAATCCCTAAGATTCCCATGTCTCCAGCAGGCTGTCCCTCAGACATGGCTTTATGATTTAGTGTTTCACAGGACCTGCAGCAGGCATGGCTTCCCCTCAATAACAGTGGTCACCCAGGCTGATCACTCATAGGCAGAGCCGTTGACAGAGAGCTGCAGCATCTAGAGGTCCCATCACCAGCCCCAAGACCGAGAGAAACTGGCCCAAATGCTCCACTGTGTCTCTGTACTCCAGTGAGCCAGTGTCCAGGGGCCTCCCCTCCCTGTAGAAGGCACAGGTCAAATGAGCTTCCAGAGCTGCAGAGCAAAGTCATGTTCTCTCCATCAATACTTACTGCAGGGCACAGTTGAGCTCAGACAGAAGTTCTCTTGTAGACAGCTGGGGAAAAAAATAGTCCTTGATTGTCGATCACAAGCCTTAGTCAGCCTATCCTCCAGGCATGAAAAAGGCATTCTCTCCACCTGTTCTGGGGAGCACACTCTGTGCCCGCTCGTGCCTCTCTCCATCTCGGATCTAGCTCTGCAACGTGACTCATCGTGTGAGTGTTTTCCTGCCTCTCTTTGCTCAGCTTTTCCTTGAATCTCTTGCTTTTTGCCTGTGTGTGTGTGGTTTTCTGCCCTTAGAGATCTAGGGTTCTCCTGGAACATAGAACTGTTTACTTTGAGGACCCTCAGAAAACATAGCCCTGGGCTAAGGCTCTCTGTCCTGGAACTAGAAGGTTATGGGTGTCACCATTTCCCAATAGCCTGTCTGAAGGTCCTAGAATCTTCAAAGAATTTGCAACATGTTTGTAGGATCTCTATAGGATCTGATATTGCAGACCAACCAAGGTGCCCTCACACCTCAAGATGCAGGAAGTAACCCCTTGGTGAAAGTGGTTGGAAGTTTTACATAGAAGTTTATGTTAAGTCACATTGCTGAGCAATGCCTCAGGGTCCCAGTCGTCACCCAGACCTTCCAGGAGCCTGGCTGGAAAGGGTGTCTGGTGTGTCACTGAGCCTCATAGCAGAGGAAGGGGGCTGTGGTGGAAACTACCTCCAAGATACCACTCAGTCCTAAGCTGGGGAACCAGCTGAGCTGGGACTCTGGTGGTGAATGAACCGGGGGACATTTATTTGAAGGGTTCTGAGAGTAGCATGGTGTAGGTGCGTTAATTATATGTGAAGGGGAAGATCCTGAGAAAACGACAGCTGCTCCACTCTGTGCCTGGGTTTACCAGAGGGACCAATGAGGCCCTCACACGACCCAGGAATCCCACCGGGGAAGGAGGCTTAGGGAGATGTGTTTAAGACTGTTAACTGAGTCACAGAGAGAAGCAGAACAAGCTAGGTTTATGGTTTTGTTTCTCCTAAATTTCCTTTCTCTAACTTCTTCCTTTCTGTAAGTAGCAGAACCTTCTCATCACCATCCTTCAAAACCTTTGCGTTGTTTGAGCTCCTTGTATATTCTGGAGATTGATTTCTCGCTTGCAAATATTCTTTCCCATTCTGTAGGTGGTCTCTTCACTCTGCTGTTTGTTCCCATGATTGTGCAGGAGGTTTGTAGTTTGATATGATCTCATTTGCCTATTTTTGCTTTTGCAGCCTGTGCTTTTGAGGTCTTACCTAAAAAATCTTTGCCCAGATTATTGTCCTGAAGTGTTTCCCCTATATTTTCTTCTCATAGTTTCATAGTTTCCAGTAGTACATTTATTTCTTTAATTCGTTTTGAGTTGATTCTTTTTTTTTTTTTTTGACAGAGTCTCACTCTGTCGCCCAGGCTGGAGTGCAGTGGTGTAATCTTGGCTCACTGCAACCTCCACCTCCCGGGTTCAAGTGATTCTCCTGCTTCAGCCTCCTGAATAGCTGGGATTACAGATGCATGCCAAAGCACCTGGCTAATTTTTGTATTTTTCTTTTTCTAATAGAGATGAGATTTCACTATGTTGGTCAGGCTGGTCTCAAACTCCTGACCTCAAGCGATCTGCCCGCCTCAGCCTCCCAAAGTGCTGGGGTTACAGGCATGAGCCACCGCACCTGGCCTTGAGTTGATTATTGTGTAGTGTGAGATATAGAGGTCTAGTTTAATTCTTCTGTACATGCATGTCCAGTTTTTCCAGAACCATTTGTTGACGAGACTTTTGTTTCCCCAATGTATGTTCTTAGGGCCTTTGTTGAAAATCTCTCAACTATAGATGTGTGCATTTATTTCTGGGCTCTCTGTTCTGTTCCATTGGACTACATGTTTGTTTGTTTGTTTGTTTGTTTGTTTTATGCCAGAACCATGTTGTTTTGGTTACTATAGCTTTGTAGAATGTTTTGAGGTCGGGTAGTGTGATACCTCCAGCTTTATCCTTTTTGCTCAGAATTGCTTTGGCTATTTGAGGTATTTTTTGATTCCATACACATTTCAGAATTTTTTTTCTCTATTTTAGTGAAGAATGTCATTGGTATGTTGATAGGGATTGCAATGAATCTGTAGATCACTTTGCATAGTATAGTCATTTTAAACAATATATATTCTTTCAATATATGGATAGGGAATATCTTTCTGGTCTTGGGTGTCCATTTCAATTTCTTTCTTCAGAGTTTAACAACTTTTATCACAGAGATTTTTCACGTCCTTGGTTTAATTTATTCCCAGGTAATTTTTGCTGGCTATTGTAAATGGGATTGCTTTCCTGATTTCTTTTCAGCTAGACTATTATTGGTGTAGCTGAAAAAGCTGCTAATTTTTGTATGTTGATTTTGTATCCTGCAACCTTACTAAATTTGTCAGTTCTAAGAGTTTTCTGGTGGAGTCTTTAAGTTTTTGTAATGCAAATTTAAAGCGCAACAAGATACCATCTCATGTCAGTTAGAATGGCGATCACTGAAAAGTCTGGAAACAACAGATGTTGGCCAGGATGCTGAGAAATAGGAATGCTTTTACACTGTTGGTGGGAGTGTAAATTAGTTCAACAATGTCAAGACAATGTGGCAATTCCTCAAGGATCTAGAACTAGAAACACCATTTGACGCAGCAATCCCATTACTGGGCATATGCTCAAAGGATTATAAATCATTCTACTATAAAAACACATGCACACATATATTTACTGCAGCACTATTTATAATAGCAAAGACTTGGAATCAATCCAAATGCCCATCAGTGATAGACTGGGTGAAGAAAATGTGGCACACATACACCATGGAATACTATACAGTCATAAAAAAGGATGAGTTCATGTCCTTTGCAGAGACATGGATGAAGCTGGAAACCATCATCCTCAGCAAACTAACGCAAGAACAGAAAACCAAGTACTGCCTGTTTTAACTCATAAGTGGGAGTTGAACAATGAGAACACATGGACACAGGGAGGGGAACATCACACACTGGGCCTGTTGGGGGGTGGGGGGAGAGGGGAGGGAGAGCATTAGGACACATATGTAATGCATGCAGGTCTTAAAACCTAGATGATGGGTTGATAGGGGCAGCAAGCCACCATGGCACATGTAACCAATCTGCACATTCAGCACATGTATCCCAGAACTTAAAGTAGAAAAAAAAATTATATCATCTGCAAACAGGACCCATTTGACTTTCTTCTTTCCAATTTGGATGCCTTTTATTTCTTTCTCTTGCCTAATTGCTCTGGCTAGGACTTCAGTAGAGGTTGAATAATAGTGGTGAAAGTGGGCACCCTTGTCTTGGTCCAGTTCTTAGAGGAAAGACTTTCAACTTTTCCCCACTCAGGATAAATGTCAGCTGTTTGTTTGTCATATGTGACCTTTATTGTGTTGATGTACATTCCTTCTGTATCCAGTGTGTCCAAAGTTTTTATTATGAAGGGATGTCGAATCTTATCAAATGCTTTTTAATGCATCTATTGTGATAATCATGTGATTTTGGTCTTTCATTCAGTTGATATGACGCATTACATGTACCAATTAGCATGTATTTAATCATGGGTTCAGTTCTGCAAGGAACTGATGAGCCACTTTCCACAGTGGCCGGACCATTTAATTTTCACACCTGCAATGTATGAGACTCCCAATTCCTCTGCATCATCAACAACACTTTTTACTTTCTGTTTTTGAAATATGACCATCCTAGTAGGTGTGAGGTGGTATCTCACTGTGGTTTGTTTGCATTTCCCTAATGACTAATGGTACTGAAGCATCTGTTCATGTGCTTGTTGTACACTGTACACCTTCTGTGTAGAAATACCTGTGCCAGCACTCTGACTATTTTCTAACTGGCCGTTTGTTGTTCTCGATGTTGTTGAAGATATTCTTTGTATATTCTGGTGAATAGAATAGATCCTTATTGGATATATAATTTGCAGTGTTTTTCCAGTTTTGTAGGCCATTTTTCACTCTGTTGATAGTGTCTTTTGGTGCACAAAAATGTTAAATTTTGGTAACGTCTCATTGATTCATCTTTTTTCTCTTGTTGCTTATGCTATTAGTGCTTTATTTAAAAAGTGATTGTCAAGTCCAAGGCTGTGAAGATTTACCCCCACGTTTGATCATTTCAGCTGTAATTTCGATTTATTTTAACTTTGTGTTTAGTCTAAGGGTCCAGTTTCATTATTTTTCTTGTAAATATCCCATTTTCCTAACACCATGTGTGGAAGGGGCCATTTTTTTCCAGTTGAATGATATTGGCAGCCTTGATAAAAGTCAATTGATCATGTAGATGGATTTTTTTCTTGTCTTTCCGTTCTATTCCATGCACCTGTGTGTCTGTTCTCATGCCAATACCAGATATATTTCATTGTTG